GTGTCTATTTTCATATTTAAAACTGTGTTTGTAATTGCATTTGTGTATTCAGCATTCTTTTGTCCATCTAAATAAAAGTGAGGATCGCCTGATACTCTTTTCCCCTACCCCTCCTTTCAAGTTTGTATATTCCTTTTCTTTTTTGTGTGTTTTTTTGGAGAGGCAATTGGGGTTAAGTGACTTGTCCAGGGTCGTACAGCTAGTGAGTATCATGTATCTGAGGCCGGATTTGAACTCATGTCCTCCTCATTCCAGGGCTGGCACTCTATTCACTGTGTCACCTAGATGCCCCTATATTGTTTTTTTTAAAGACCCCACTTACATGAGAAAATAAATTCCATTCCCTTCTTCTTATGTGTGCTAGGATGTTCCCTTTTCTTTCCCTTCTTGTCACCACCTTAATACAATAGAAACATAACCAATCCACCACCAGGTAGTCGTTCTTATTTAACTCCATCAATAACTTTTGAAAATACTAAGGTTTTGAAGGGATACATGTTTTTTTTTTCCTTCAGTCAAAGTGTTAGCACTTCATCATTATAGAGTTCCTTCCAATTGTTTAAATAAACTGCCATTTCCCTTGACTCATGTTTGCATTTCAGTTTCTATTTAGCTGTGGTGTTTTCATAATGATTGTGTGAAAGCCCTCTATTTCACTGAAGGTCCAGTTTCCCGTATACAATTAAACTTAGCTTTGCAGATCAAATTATTTTGGTTATGGGTTCATACCTTTTATCTTTTGGAATATTGTGTTCCAAGATCTCCTCTTTTTTTTAGTAGAAGCTATCATGTCTTACATAAGACTGGCTGTGGTTCCTTGGTAGTTATACGTCTACACTTTCTTTCTGGCTGCTTGTGGATTTTTTTTAAAATGTAATCTGCATACTTAGGATTTTTGCTATGATATTTCTGTGACTTTTCCTTTGGGATCTTCTTTTAGAAGATGATTGATGATGAATTCTTTCTAATTTCACTTTGCCCTCTGGTTCTAATAGATCTGGGTAATTTTCATTTATGATTTCTTAAAATATAACATCTAGGCTTTTTTAAAAAAAATGGTTTTCAATGAGTTTGATGATTCCTAAATTAACTCTCCTTGACCTATCTTTGAGGTCATATTTTTTAATAGCAGGTTTCTATTTTTTTTTTTTGGTCTTTTGATTTTGTTCCCATTTTCATGTTATATCATGGAGTCATAGACTACTGTTTTAATTTTCATATGGTATAATACTTGGATAAGTTTTGCCACTTTATATCCTAAGCAATTTATTTTCCTTTCAATTTTTCCTCCAAAGGTTTAATTAATTTTTAATCTCTTGTTTTATTTCTCCCAGGTAAACATATAGCCCTTGTAGAAAAGCTAATTTTTCCATTGAGTCTCTGCTTATAGTTTTTGTGAAGCTATTCTTCATCAGGGTTGGATTTTTGGGTATCTCTGGGTCTATAATAATTCTTTTCAGTGATTGGTGTCTTTTTTATTTACTCTATCTTCAGCCATAGTTCGTGATTTGGAGCTTTGCATCATGACCAGACTCTGCCCTCTTTTAGGTGTGAGCCTGGGTCTATTTTGTTCCTGCACTGATTTCCAACTTGTGAGTTTGTTTTCATTATATTATAGAAGGTTTTAAGGCCTCTTGGATCTTTCAGTTGCAGAGCACTGAATCTTTAGGGCCATATATATGGCATCTCAGGACAGAGTGCTATGAAACTCCAAGCCTCTGGACGTAGGGTATTCCAGCTTTTGTGCTGCCACATCTGGAATGGTCACTGTCACTCTTGGTCACATGCAAGGTTGAAAACCCAGAGTAGGTTTCAATCACCCTGGGACTTTCTTATGGGATCTCTCTATTGTTCCTAGATACAGAACCTTGCAAGCTACAGGTGTCTCTTTGGATACACTGAAAGGCTTCCGTATTATTCACCTAGCTGGTGATGACTTTTTTGGAGAAATCCATTTCCTATTGCCTATGGGCTTTCTTGATGATTTATTATGCATCTCTGGGGCAGATCAAGTTACTGACTTTCATTAGATTTCTTGATCATTATTTGATCTGAAATCACTTTTAGGTTTTTGCTGGTATAGGTATATGGGAACCAGGCTGCCTACCTCCATTCAGCCAGTCATCTTAGCCAGATATCTCAGTCACTTCTTTAATATTCTCTTCTTTAGCTATGCCTTGAGTAGTCCCCAGAACCTCCTATTTTTTCTTTTATTTTCTGTCCTTTATCCTATATATATATATGTGTATATATACATATATATATATATATATCTCACTTCTCTGCTGACACATCCTACTCTTCACTAGCTATATCAATAAATAAATAAATTTATTAATCAATCAGGCTTTATTACTTCCATTTTCCCCAAAGCTCCATATTTCCTCATGCTGTATCACAGACCCTTGCTGGTTATTGGAGCTTAACCTCAGATCCAATTAGCACCAAAAATCACAAAGTCCTCCAGCTACCCATTAAATGAAGAATGAGAAGAACTTTGGGCTAGCAAAATCAGCCACCCTGAGAGACAGGGAAACTGAGACAGGGAGACATTAGCTAATCAGTAACAAAATGTAGAACAGGATTTCTAACATGTTCTTTGCCACCATCTGGACCACCAGGACCCTCCCACTTGGGGATGCTATTTTAAGAAACCCTCATATAAAAACCTCTCACACATTTCTCTTCTATGATTTGATGCCAGGAAACCTCCTCAACTAACCTACTGAATGCTTCCTGCAGGTTCAGCTTTGTTCTAGGCACTCTAGGGGATCCGGAGAAGTATAAAATATAGTCAATATCCTGAAAGACTGTCCAGTTTCATTGATGAGATAAAATATGTACACAACTTAAAAATACAAGATATTTGGTAAATACCATTTAGCAGTATCCAATAGGGCAAGTATTTATTTGTATTGGATTTTTTATTTTCAGTCGCATCCAACTCTTCGTGACTCATTTTGGGGTTTTCTTGGCAAAGTTACTGGACTACTTTCCCATCTCCTCATTTTACAGATGAGGAAACTGAGGCAAACAGTTTAAGTGACTTGGCCACAGTCACACAGCTAGTAAGTATCTGAGACTGCATTTGAACTGAGGTCTTCCTAACTCCAGGCCCAGGACTCTATCCACTGCACAACCCACCTTCCCTTAAGAATTTACTAAATTCCACTATTTTCAAGGGATAGAGGTAACGTATTATGGTGTATAAAGTGCTGGTCTTGGAATCAGGAAGGTCTGTGTTTAGGTCTTGACTTTGACAATAACCTCTGTGGCCCTAGATAACTTACTGAACCTCTCAGTGCCCCTAATCAGCTTTCTAAGATCACAAGTTATGAATGAGTTATTGATCTGCATTGGTGGAGGGATTTTCCACGCAACAAGTTCCTCACTCTGAAGAAATCACAGTTCCAGGAACTTCCTTCCCCAACACACACTATGCTTAAGGCAACATGCTAGACATCAGGTACACAGACAACATTTAAAAAAATAAATAGATAAAAATAGCTCTTGTTCTTACACTGTTTGCTTCTACTTATTAGAGAATAAATGCTGTAGGAATTTGAAGTGGTGGAGATCATTGCCCTAGGCAGGTGTCTCCCTAAACTTTTTTTAGAAGAATCAGGTGAGAAATGCTAAGAGAGGGGGCTAAGAATAATGGGAACAAATCTTTTTTTTTTTTCCTGCAGGGACTTTTTATTTTCATTTGGGTTGTAGCTGGCACAGAAACCATATGCGCACTGGCCTGAAAGAATTTCCAGAGCTTTTGAGGAAAAGAAGAGGGAGGAAACAGGTTTCCTCAGCTTTAGGGAAGAAAAAAAAAACAAAGGATTCTTAACAGGCAGTCTGCAAACTTGGGTAAAGGAGAAAAATTATATCTTTATTTTCACTAACCTTTGACTGAAACTTAGCTTTCCTGCAATGTCTTAAAAATATAATCATGAGAAAGGGTTCTTGTGGTTCATCTGACTGCCAGGGAGGTCCATGACACCAAAAAGATGAAGATCCGCAAAGTTAGAGCCAGAAGGGACCTTGACACTCATCTAGCCAATCCATCCACCCTTCTATCAATCAGGGAACATTTATTAAATATCTATTGTGTGCCAGGCACTTTGCTAGCCACTACAGATACTTGAAAAGAAAAGGAACAATACTTACTCTCAAGAGGCTTGTATTCTACTAGGTGTTCAACACCCTCTGCTTATAGATCAGTATACCATGTTATAATAACTTGCCGAACGGTCATACAAGAATGTGGAAACAAACCCAGGTTTTGAACCTACGTCCTTTTGGTTCGCAGGGAGGTTTCAGAAAGGGCTAAGTAGGAGGAAAAAGTCGAGAGGAAGAGAGGTGAGACAAAGACAGGACAAGACAGCGAAGGGAAGCAAGGAGTCTGCAGGAGAGGGACTAGCAGAGATTGTCACAGATCCCTCTTTAGAGAAGAGCTACTCAGCAGGGCTGGCAGTCTAGCAGGCAAGCCGCCACACTGAGTTTCCCAGGTCTAATGCATCTCGCTATTCAGTCAGACGTCAAGGAGAAGCGCTGCGTGGAGAAAGCGAAAGAAACCACCCCCCCACCCACCACACACAACAAAACCCAGCGGCCTGTGACTATCAGGCAGTTTGTATTCGGAGCATCAAGGCTGAGCCGGAATCTGGCAGACAGACTCGGCAAGGGCCCCGAATGGAATCCTTTTATCAAGTGTCTGAGCAGTTACTTGATCTAAGAGGTTTGTATACCTGCAGCAGGCTGTGTAAACGCCAGAGACAAATTACAAGGCAGGACAAGTGTTACAGTGAAGGATGAAAGTGCAGGCAGGAAGGCAAACAAGCAGAGCATTACAACCGCCACTTAATGGCAAACACATTTATTAACATCAAGCGCCATGTCTGTAGGTTTTCCCCGCTGCAGCCAGCTGCGGGTGCCAGCTACTTAGAGAGCTGAGGCTGTGCAGTGAATAAAACCCAGGCTGGTGGGTTGGGGGCGGGGGGGGGCGCGTGGATGGGCTTCTTTCCCCCTCCTCTTCCCAGTGTGCTCCACCTGTGTTCTTGGCAACCCAGCCACCCCTCGGCCTGTCTTCCTGGGAACAAAGGGGCTGCTGCTGGCGCACAGCGAACAACTTGATTTTGTCTGGGCCCCCGGGAGATGCGTACAGAGGCTGGGTTCTCCAGTTGGGGAAGTTGGCTGCCTAGAATTAAAGGAGGAGGAGAAGGGCAGGCAGGAAGGCACAGGAGGGGGCTCAGGACCTGATGGGCAAAGCTGTGACACACACACAATTCAACAATCCAGCCCCAAGGCACTGAACAGGCGTCCTCCAGATGAGCCAACAGTCTAGCCTCCTCCACATAGCGCTGTGTGATCGCTTGCTGGTTAATGGTATTTCCTCAGGCTTTTATTACAGTTTGACAGACCCAGAGACTGGAGGCATTTTTAACATGTGAAAAACGGGGGGGGGAGAGAGAGAGAGAGAGAGAGAGGAGAGAGAGAGAGAGAGAGAGAGAGAGAGAGAGAGAGAGAGAGAGAGAGAAGGGAGGGGAGGAGGGAGGGGGAGGAGGGGAGAGGGAGGAGGGGAGAGGAGAAACAGAGAGAGAGAAGGAGAGAGAGAAGAGAGGACAGAGGAGAGAGAGAGGACAAAAGAAAGGAGAGGAGAGAAGGAGAAGGGGGAAAGAGAGGAGAGAAAGAGGAGAGACAGAGAGACAGAGAGACAGAGAGAGAGAGAGAGAGAGAGAGAGAGAGAGAGAGAGAGAGAGAGAGAGAGAGAGAGAGGACAGAGAAGGAGGAGGGTAAGCAAGGGAGATCCTTGGCTTAGTTTCAGGAGATGTAGCTCCTAGTCCTAGCTCTGACACCACTATAACCTTGGACAAGTCACTTCCTCTCTGGGCTTTAGTTTTCTCATCCGTGAAATGAGGGGTGCTTCCTTCCAGTTCTTATATTCTACGATTCCAAGACCCATAATTCTGCATGTGTCAGCTACAACAAGAGGTAATCATCTGAAATGAGTCCTCTTTCTCATCTACATTTTCCTTCTGTGAAGGGAAGACATTCCTGGTACCATGTACTATGGAGGCAGAGTTTCTATCCCTCGTGCTTGGAAGACTCTCCCCCCTCAACTTCTCACCTCCCCTAATCCTTCAAGGCTTAACTCCAGCCCCATCCCCTCTGTAGAGCTTTCCCTTATAAAGAGATTATCTGGGATCATCTATTGAGAGCAGAAAGGGGCCTTAGAGATCATCTAATGCAACTCCCTCATTTTATGGATGAAGGAGCTGACTCTGGAGAGAGGGTAAGTAGCATTATGCAAGGTCCTCAGGTAGTCACTCAGTGGCAGGTGGGGATTGGAATCCAGGGATGATCATACTGCCTCCCCTAATCTACTCTGATCCTCAGGACAAAACTCTTCTGAAACTCCCCAGTTACCTTTTCATTGTTCTCCAGCCACTTTATCTGTTTCAGTTCTCCATCTCCAGCTAGACAATAAGGTTTAGAGGTGAGGCATGCCAATTTTTATACTCCTGCATTTTCCCACAGTACTAAGTATAATAACAACTTGGTCTAAGCAGCTGTTAGCATCTCTAATTTCATAAATAGCTCAAAGAAAGCTGCCTGACATACATAAAGATTAAGTGATCTGTCCAGGATCACATGATTAGTATGTATCAAAGACATAACTTGAACCCAGGTCTTCCTGACTTAAGTCCTGTAATCTCTCCTCTCTGCCTCCATACGATGCCCATAGTGATTATAATAATGGTTCTCATTTGTGCAACACTCCACAGGGAGTGGTGGGGAAGTTCTTTCTCCTAACAACTCTGTAGAGATAAAGAAAAAAGTATAGGCCTGACATCACTCCCCAGTCCATGATGTTTCACTGTCTCCCTGTTGACTCTAGGATAAAACCAAATTCTTTTCTTTGGCAATCAAAGCCCTTCACAATTTGGCTCCAATCCAGTGTTGATGCTAAAACTGTTGTACCTGCAGGTTTCCCATACATAACATTCCATCCCTTTGTGTGCCTGGAATGATATTCTTCCATGCCACTGATCCTAGCTCTCGTCAAGGCTTCCTTCAGATGCCACTTTTTCAACGAGACTTACTAGGATTCCTTCCTGTTGCCTTACACCAAAAATTGCTTTGTATTTATTTTATCTATTTTTATGCTTACTGCATCACCTAGTTGCCTCACAGCTGACAATGACGCCCTGGGAATCACTCTAGGATTTGCGTGTTAGGTAGGTCAACAGGTTTAGATAAAATGATGGGAGATTAGCAATAGAACATTCCCAGAAGCTCTAAGAAGAGAACACTGCTAGGACAGGGTGCTTATTAAAAGTGTAAAGGGTTTTCCCTTCCACACTTAAAGACGGCCAGCCCCCTTTCCTGCTGCATTCTAGGGTGCACTAAACAAATGCCAGGTGTAGCACTGTACTTGCATGTGCTGGTTACCGAAATGGCCTGCATAGAACACTAACCATAGAGTCTGTGACGGGTCACACTTCTACACTTGTGTGGGCTTGGGCAAGTTATTTAATTTCTCTAGGCCTCAATTCTTTATCTGCAAAATGAGGCAGGGCCAGCTTCAAGTCTGATCTGGTCCATATTCACTTTTAAAACAATGCTAAAAGGGGATGGGTCATTGTCAAATGAGATGGGTAGAGAGTAGGTACCAGAGGTACACTGTGATCATCTTAGTCAATACCACCCTCAATTGTTATGCACATCCCTTATATATTATAGATAGATATTACATAAAGATACATAACATATTTATAGATTGTAGATTATACTGTAAATTATTTGAGGGAAAGTATTACATCCTTTATTTCTCCATCTCTACCATCACTCCCCTCATAGCAACCACTGCAATGCCCATAGTAGGTGCAGTAGGTGCACAAAAGACATTATTGAGGACACTAAAGAAAACATTTCCTAACTTGCTCATCTCTTACACATTCTGGCCTCATAGATTCTGAGCTTGAAGGAAACTAAGTGGTCGTCTAGTCCAATTTCCCTGCCCAGCAGAGGAAACTCTTTTGTAAAAGCCCAAGTGTTACAGAGATGGGGGACCTCACTAGCTTACAAGAAAGACCATTCTGTTTTTGGGTAACACTAATTGTTAGTAAGTTCAGATATGTGTGAATATATATATATATATATATATATATATATATATATACACACACACATATATGTCTATGTGTATATAAGTATATATATGTAAATATGTGTATATATACATACATGTATACATACATACCTATATCTATGGAAAGAAGAAAGGAAGCAGGGAGGGAGAGAAAGAAGGAAATAGGCATTTGTTAAGTGTCTACTATGTGTGTATATGTGCATACACAGTATGCACATATATACACATAAATATGCACAAATGTAGATATATGTATATACACATGCCTAATATATAAACATATCAATATAGATCCATTTCCATATGCATGTATATATATATATTGATAAGCATATATAATTGTATATTAATATGTATATATACTTATAACTTTTATATTAACTTTTTGAGCTATTAAAGCCTCCAATTGCACTAAGACTTTTGGGACGCCCTATATATCAGCATAATATACATGTGCCACATGTACACATATGTGTACACACGTGTATGTCTATATTAACAAATACAGATGTGTCCATATACATGTATATACAAATATCCCCATTTGATGCTGCCGAGCTATTTATTCAGCTGTCTCTGACCCTTCACGACCCCATTTGGAGTTTTCTTGGCAAAGATACAGGAGTGGTTTGCCATTTCTTTCTCCAGCATATTTTGCAGATGAGGAAACGGAGGCAAACCAGATGAAGTGACTTGCCCAAGGTCACACAGTTGGTACGTGTCTGAGGCCAGATTTGAACTCTGGAAGACGAGTCTTCCCCACTCCACACCCAGCACTCTGTGCACTATGGCGCCACCTAGCTGCCTAAATATGTCTGTAAGAAAGCCCAGTTCCACTTGTTTTTCAGAAGACAAGGGCATGGATACCCTCACATCCATTCTGGTTCATTTGTGCCCCGCCCCTCAACCCCAATGAATCCCGGGTTCACCCTCTTCCTATGTGAAGACTGCTGGGGACTTAGAACTCTGCCTTTAAGATCGCTCACCTTTGCAGATGTTGCCATCACTAACAGCCAACACCAGGACTCAGCATACACCCAAGCTCACTGGATGGACTCCAGGGCTAGGCGTGACTACCCTGAAAGGTGACCTCATTCTTCATCGCCTCCTTGGATCCACAAATCAGGGCTCACTCTAGGGGCAAATCTGTGTTTGCAGAGGCTCTGTGTGTGGAGCTTTTGCTCAGAAACTCCTGGGGATCTCTCGCAATAACAACATCAACAATCACTGGCACTTATATGGTAATTTAAGGTTTGATCCATGTGTTGTCTCCGTTGATGAAGCATTGACTTAAAACAGCTAACATTCCTTCGATTCCCTCAGAGCCAAACTGCTCTCTGCCCATGCTTTCGCCTTTTCCTTCTGATGCGGGTATTTCACTCTTGTTTTCCCCACTTATTCAACTGCTGTCCATATCACCACCAACTCCCCAGGGTGTTTTGCTAGCCATGCCTATTCCACTGATTACCAATGTCAGAGAAAGAGCATTCTGACATTCTTTTATTACCCAGGAGGTAATTAACAGCGGCGGACAGCTGCACAAACATGGTATTTGCCCCCTCCCCACAGCCTTTCCCCTGGGGTTCTCACCCCTAACAGTGGCTATACTTTTCTAGGAAAGTACAGCATTTTAGACCATTCTCTCTCAAAATAGGGAGAAAAATTTGGGGGCAGCCAACAGTGCATCTCTTGCTGGCTTTATGATAATTGGGTGTTCAAAGTAGAAACGAGGACCTTCAAAGTCCTGGAACAGTTATTTCATCTCTTTGTTGCCACATCATTCTGGGTTCATGGGTTAAGTAGCTTATACTCTGAGGAGCTGAGTAATCCGCTCAGTGCTCACTGGTCAGCCATGGTCTCCTTTAGGGGTCTTCCTTGTTCATCTGCCATTCAGTTGTTCTGCACGATGACCCTGAACTTCCTTTTTGAGCTTGTTTCCTTGGGTGCTCATAAACTCTATGCTCATAAACAGCTGCTCAGTCACTAAGGTTTGGGATTTTTCTTTACCTAGAAAGCACATCATGTGGGACTGCTCTTGTTAAGATGGCCTCATTCTCTTTCAGATTTAAATTGATTAATCATCACTTTATTCTAGCTATCAGCTACACTGCAATTGGCATATTTATTTCTAATCAGCTCCTAAAAATGGCATCATTCAAAGGTGCTTAACCACATTACTTAATTTTCAACCTGTATTGCTATTGATTTCTAATATTCTCTTCAAGATATGGGACATCATTCAATGCAGCAGTCTGTTTATATAATAATCTTATCTGGTTACTAAAATCTGTGAAGTCTCTTGAATTGCCTCTAATGCAAGATTGGAGACTGGCTGCTAAATGAGTCAATTTTACTTTAATTTGGTTTATTTACAGTACATGTTTTAAGGCTCAGCATTCTGAGGATTCCAGAGCAATGCTGAAAATAAGAGTAAATATATGCTAAGGCAGCATACTGCTCCATTCTCAGTCTTTGATAGGCTAGACAACTGCAGCAGACTGATCTTCCTTACATCTCTCCTCAATCATGTTGTTCTCTTGCTTGAGAATTTTCAACTGACTTCTGGTCACTCATGTCATCAAATCTAAACCTTATTGACTTGGCCTTCGAGGCCGCTCTTCATCTGGCTTCTTTCTATCCATTCAACCCTGTTTCCACTATTCTCCAACAAGTCTGCAGAGAGTGCTCCCCAGTCTCGCCAGCACAGTATGTCTTCAGAGGTTCAAAGACACAACTCACTTGATCTCTGTTCATATTGTTCTTTCAGCCCAGAGATTTCTCTCCACTCCTTTTTGTCTACTTAATTCCTGTCTGCTCAGCTCAAGATCCATCTCTGCCATGAAACCTCCTATTCCTCTAGCCCGCACTTACTGAGCTCTCCCGTTGTTGAGGTCCTGGGGCATTGATAATCAATCAGTACCACCTTCCCATGGCTATAGATCTTGTGTGGCCAATTAGATTGTGAAATTGAGAATGAGAACTGTCTTTCACCTTTCTTTATATTCCCAGCACAGTGCCTGGCACTCAGTAGGAACTTAATAACTATTTATTAACTGACTAGCACTAGACAACATGGTACAGTGGAAAGAGCAAATTCTGGTCTCAACCTTAGCTCTATTACTAATTACCTATGTGATCTTGGGAAAATCATTTAAAGCCTCTATCTCCTAGAAATGACATTTGATAACCATCGAGGTCCATTTTAGCTCTAACTCTATATCTATAATCATTCCCTAAGCAGACCTTGTACTTTCCCCCTTAACATGTTTGTCCCATTGTGCCATTATTCTTGGAATCTCATTTCCTATTACTGCCACTTGATGCAAACCTACTTTCCCTTCAAGGCTCACCTCAAATGCCACCTATTCCACAAATACTCCATGAATACTCTCCCAGATTACAGATTGACTAAGGGCAGAGCCATGTCTGGAAACAAAAGGAGAGGAGAGGAGAGGGGAGGAGAGGAGAAGAGAGAAGAGAGAAGAGAGGGGAGAGGAGGAGAGGGGGAGATGGGGGAAAGGACCTACTATGTGCCAGGCAAAACACAAACAAAAACAAATATTACTTCATTTGACCTCACAACAACCCTGGGAGTTAGGCACTATCATTATCCTCACTTCATAATGGAAGAAACTGAGGCAGACAAAAGTTGAGTGACCTGCATAGGCCATACAGTTAATGAGTGTCAGAAGCCAGATTTGAACTCAGGTCTTCTTGACTCCAGGTGCAGAGCTCTTTACACAGCAGTGCCTAGTTGCCTTTTCCAATCTCCCCTCAGCACCGAGCACAGGGCATCTCACTCACAGATGCTCATATGTTAATGACATCTCCTATGGTGGTTGGTTTGGTGCTGATCACGTAGGAGATGCTCTATCTATGGTGATTGAATGATTGACATCTGCTTAATAGGAGGATCTAGAATTGAATTTTAAACACATTGGATGTTTCTTGATTTTTAAAATCCCTGTAATCTTGAAACATTTATTTTAGGGTGGCAAAACCTGTAGAATGGCAATATTATGTGAACTTTAGGGATGTTGGGTTAGCTGGTTCAGTTAGTTTATAACATTTTGTAAGTCTCTGTCATATCCTACTCTATTCATAATATAATAATAGTAATAATAATAATGATTATGATAACTAGCACTTATAAAGCACTTTAAGGTTTAACAAGAGCTATTAGAACTACACATTATCTCATTTAATCTTCACAGCAATCCCATTAGTGTTATTATACCCCTATTTTACAGATGAAGAAACTGAGGCAATCAGAGTGACTTGTCCAGGAGCACACAACAGGTAAGTGTCTGAGGCAGGATTTAGACTTAGGTCTTCCTTATTCCAAGTCTAATATTCTTCCCCACTGCACCACCTAGCTGCCTGATGTAGTCACTATGACTGCAGTATTAAAGTGTTACCCTAACAAACTTGTGTATCTTCCCCTTGAAGCCACTCCTCTTCTTAACTTGCCTAGTTCTGTCAAGAACACCATCCTACTTCTAGACACTCAGGTTCAAAACCTCAGCCATCTTCCATTCTTCTCTCTCCCTCATCCCCCCACATCCCATCAGTTGCCAAGTCTTATTGATTCTGATGTCATAATACCTCTCATATTTGTCTCCTTCTTGCAGCAGAAGCCCCCACCCTAGATCAGACCCTCTCCACCTCTTCCCATTGGTCTCTCTGCCTCTAGTCTTTCCCTTCTCCAATTTGTCACTGACATAGCTGCCAAACTTAGATCTCTACAGTGCAGATATGACCATGGCACAAGAATCTTTAGCAGTTCCCTATTGTCTCTAGGATAAAACACACACACACACACACACACACACACACACACCACACACACACACAGAGAGAGAGAGAGAGAGAGAGAGAGAGAGAGAGAGAGAGAGAGAGAGAGAGAGAGAGAGAGAGAGCACTCCTTTTTCTGGTATTAAAGCTCCTCACAAGAATTCTCCATTCTATCTTTGCTGACTTACTGGATACTGCTCTGTTTCACATCGCCTATATTCTAGACAAACTGCCTTTCTTGTTATTACTCACACGTGAAATTCTATCACCTGTCTCTGTGAAGTTGCATGGGTGATATGTCCTCCATGCCTACAATATTCTTCTTCCCTATCTCTTCTTTGTCGAATCCCTAACCTTCTTTTTCAAATTATAGCTCAGAAATCACCTTCTGTAAGATGCCTTTCCTGATTCCCCCAAGGATCCTAATCCCTACCTGGAATTTCTTTGTATTTATTCTCTCTGCATTTTTATCCACTTATCTATGTATACATCATTTGCTCCCAATAGGATATAAGCTCTTTGAGGGAAGGTGGTGTTTTGTAACCTCAGCACCTAGTGCACCGCCCGGAACATTGTGGATACTCAACAGGTGCTTGTCAAACACACCAGAAAGCTACAACTGAGCTATCTCCAGAATTACAGCTGATCTGATTTCAAATGTAAATGTATTTACAACTTAAGGAATATTGAAGGAATACTTGAGACGCTATTCCACTTGGTTTAAGATCCAGGCTCCAACTCAGGTTAAGATTCTCCTGTCTTCTATCCCAGAACAACACATGAATCAGAAACCAGGGGATAGGATCAACGGCTACTGGAATTCATGACTCTTAAGAATTTCAAAATGCCTGAAGGATTCCTTTTTTTTTTAATCTTACACCTAGAACTTGAAATTTCTTTTGCCTTTTGAGAATATGAGAATAAAAACAAGTCCTCAGAGGTTTATTTTAACTGATGCTAATTTTTTTTTAACCATTTGTTGTTTGGTAAGAACACAGCCAAAGTTTCCTTGGAAGACCAGTGATCCAAAGACGTTGTGCCCATCTGGCAAAGAATCATCATTTTGAACTCATCTACAGTGAAATATTACAAGTTTGGAGGGCATCAATACCAGATACAAACTTGGATTTCTAAAGAGGAATATTTTTAAAAATCTGTCTCTGTTCAGTAGTACCATTATAAATTGCAACCTGAGCAGTAATTCTACATCAATTAGTTGTCCAAAAAAAAAACATTCAAAGCAATTAATTGAGTTATTTGTGGTGAATAGTCAGACCACCATCCTTGAACATTGCCCACAAACTCCTGAGTGTCACTATTTCGGTCAATAATATTGACAATCTCTTCAGAATTAGCAATGAGAAAATTTCTAAAGGTGGAAAGACCAGTTCTCTCTCAAACTATTATAGACCAAGAAGTGATAAAAGTCTCAATATCCTCTTGCCCAGAGAGGTATCACCAGAAAATTTCTTGTCTTTGGAAAATCTCAAAATCCCAAAAAAACAAAAACACAACTAAAGCAGTTTACTTGGGAAGCAACAGCTGCTTGAATAAGACAATATGGTGTCAGAATTGTAAGGTCATAGATAATGTAGTCCAATACTTCTTTTATTTTCATAGATGAGGAAAATACCCAAGGAGGTAAGTAGCTCTCTTAGGGCCATGTTGGTTAGTGTTGGAGCTGGTGTCTAACCTTAGACATGTGGACTTGAAATCTAGGGCTCTTTTCATCTATATTGCCCTACTAGTCATAAATTCAGTATTAATATGAGGTACTGTAGTTAAAGAGAAAACTTGTCCATATATGATTGGAGAATCATAGATTTCAAGCAGGAAGGGACCTCAGAATCCATCTCATCCAACCATCCTCTTTTGAAAGATGAGGAAACTGAGACCCAGGGAGATTAGGAAATTTGTCTAGTCACACAGTGACCAGAGAGATTTGAATCCATGTCTTCTGACATCTCAGCAACTGAGTGCTCTTTCCGCTGAGACTCAGCCAGCTGGTCTCAAGCTGGACTCGGCTAGGATCATAGAGCGTATGTTTTAAAGCTAGAAGCAGGAGCATGTGGGAACTAACTCAAACCCATGCTTGCTGATTGTTTAATTTTGAGTGTGAGCATTTACAATTCAGAAATCAGCAAACTCAACAAATCAGGGCTTGTTTTATTGTTCTGTTGATTGCTTAGACTTAAGAAAGTGATTAAGAAAATGTTATTAATGCAGATTAAGTGTCATTCACAGAACTGGCTGCTAAACATTTACCAGCACACCCCACCAGCTGGAAGGGGCCTTCAAGACCATTGAATCTAATCCCTTCATCCTATAGGTGAGGAAACTGAAACCCAGAGAGGTTAAGTTATTTGTCCAGGGTCACACAGCTAGTAAATATTTGAGGAGGCATATAAACTCAGATCTTCTTGGCTCCAAGCCCAGTACTCTAACTAATGTGCCTCCAGACTAGATTGTTCTTAGCTGAAAGAGAAAGAAAAACAGGGCTGTGGATGGGAATGGGTAAGAGGTCAAATGAAGAGGTTACTATTGCACTGATGGATCAATAATTAATGGATGCTCACTCCGGCTTTATAAGCTCAAACTCAGGCAGACTGTAAAATGGAGTCTGTGACCTAATGTCTGTTCAGGTTTTCTTCAGTGATTAGAAACAAGGTACATCATATCATTGAATGTTCTCGGTGCCCTACAAGCTTCATATTGAATCAGAAAACCACAAATTACCATTATCTATGTTGTATTGTATTTTTTCTTTATTTCTTTAAATACTTCCTCATTATATTTAAATCTGGTTCTGCATTACTCAGAGTTTTATAGACCACATGTTTGACATCACTAATTGAGGGCTTTCTTCTTCCTCCACCTTCCCCAATACATTATTTTTTCCTACCATTGTAACTATGCCTTTACTCTTCCAAAAATCTAGACATTAGTAAACAACTAACATTTCTATATGCTTTGAAGTTTGCAGAGAGCTTTCCCTATGACAACTGTGGCTTATGGGTATTGCAAGTATCATTATCTCCTTTATTTCAAATTGTTTCCCCAATAGAAGATAAATTCCTTAAGGGAAGGTCTATTTCCTGTGTGTCTCTGTATCCTCAGTACCTAGTACTCAGTACAGTGGTGGCTCTAGATATTAAGCTGGTGCTTAATAGACGCTTGTTGACCAATTGATGGATTAACCCGTGTCCTATGTACAAGGCACTGTGTTAGGTGCTAGGGATAGGAAGAGAAAACCAAAACTGTCCCTGCTGTCAAGGAGCTTGCATTTTTACCTACCGCACCATGCAGACACTCACTAAGGATCCCTGACAGGTGGACATCCAATTGTTCCTTGATCAATCATAGTGAGAAGGAGCTCACTATCCACCCAAGGTAGAATGTTCTGTTCTTACAGAGCCTTTAAAAGCTTCATTTTTCCACCAAAATTCCATAGGAGGGGAGAAAGAAATTCTAGTATTTGGAGAGCTACCTTGATAATAATAATAATACGAGCTTACCACTTACATAGGACTTTAAAATTTGCAAAGCATTTTATGTTGTCTCATTTGACCTTCATAACAACCTCAGGAGGTAGGTGCTATTATTACTTCTATTTTCCAGAGAAGGAAACCAAAGCAAAGGGAGGTTAAGTGACTTGCCCA